CTCAAAAGTCCTGGCACCTTCTATAAAAACACAGTAGAAGGAGAGAAATCTGCATCAAATAACAGATGTGCGAGGCAGACTCTTTTCTGTTTTAATTTTCATAACCCAATACTTTTCCTAGAAGTGGTATGAATTTTGGCCCCTGCATATCTCAGTAATTTTGATCCATAAAGCAGGTATCGCCAAAGGACTGATGATGCACTGGTCCTCAGGCTGGCTATTCCTTCCCACCCAGTGCGCTTTACTCAGTTGTTGTGCTAGGAGAAGGCAGCATACAGGAAAGGATAAAAGAAAATCAGACAGTCTAGCCCTTGGAGAAGTTTCTTCACTTCACTCAGCCTCAGTTTCCTCTTGTGCAAAGTTAGGATATTGCAATAGTCCCATCTTTAAACAGACCTGGACTTTGAAGTCAGTGCCCAATACCATAATCAATTACAGACAAATATCCTCCACTGCTGTTTCTTGTTGGAGCACCAAATGAAGTAGATGACTTACACTTAGGGACTGCATTGAATGAAAACCATGTGTCTTTACATCCCGTAAGTCTAGGGCAGTAATTCAACAGGAAGTCACAATCTGAGAGACACGCAGAAACTGAGATGCAGTGGGGCGCTCTGGGTTTATAGCTCCCAGCTCATTCTCACTCCGGGCATTCAGTTCTTGACTGAAATCCTTAACTCATGGTCGCCTCCTTTCTTCCACCCTCTCCTTCTTCCTCACTCTCAGCCTCCTTCCTGTTTGAATTCCAGCAGCTAATTAAATTCTCATTTGATGCTGCCCAATTAGAATACACACGCCAAAAGGTTGTTGCAAGAATTAATGAAATCATGCACCTGTGGCAGCCACGGAGGTGCTCCACTTACATGTCTCTTCAAGAGTTTGCCTTGTGCAAGTTGTGTAGTGAGCTGACCACCCAAAGCTGCTGTGTCTTCAGGATCCAATGCAGTTGCTCACGCCAAGGCCACACCCTTCCCAGGCCGTCCTGGCCAATGGGAGCGTGGTGGAAATATAAGAGCCAGGCCATTCTCACCAAGTGAGGACTCCTCTACTTTCTGTTGACCTAAGACTTTTTTCAGAACTGCACCCCAGTCAGAGGCTTTCATCTGATCCTCCTTCCTTGCCCTCAAAGATGTAAATTAGCAGCATGGTGAAGGGTCTCCCAGCCTACTTCACAGCTATTTCTCTTTTATTTCCAGTTCTCTCTTGTTATCTGCTTCCTAGAGGACCTGAACTGACACAGCCTATAAAGTAGTGGGCACAGAGTGAGGGTTCTGCCAACTGACAGTGACCAGAGGGGAGGGGGAGGGGGATAACGGGGAAAGAAGAGGAAAGGTTGTCAAGGAACATGTATAAAGGACCCAGGGACAAAGGCAGTGGTTGGGGGCAGATTGAATGTGGGAGGTGGGGGTGGGTGGGACGGGGAGAGTAATGGGGGAAAATGAGGCTGTAATTGAACAACAATAAAAAAGAGAAAAAAAGAATGAAGGTTCTGGAAATGTTGGCCATTATTGTTATAATAATTGTGATTTAATTAAACTAATGACTCCATTACCAGAAGACACTCTTAGAAGTACCTACTCTCCAAACAATCTGATTCAAGAGTCCTCAGTAGACCCTGAGGCCTTGCCCAGCCTGTCCGTTTCTCTGCCTTCGACGCCATTCCTAGCAGAAAAGGGGAGGGGGGGGAAGCATTCCTGCTTTTTCTAATACTTCGCTGTGCAGAAAGAATTTCGAAACCACTGGAGGATTTAGGCAAAACATTGAAAACATCAGGATTAGCAGGGAAAATGGGCGTCACAGCCCCTCATCTTAGCAAGAACAAACACCCGGGTCCTAACAGTCTTAAAACAAGCATCAATAAAAGCCACGATCATTAAACACAGCCTTTCCTGAGGGAGTTTTGTGTCAAGTCATTGTGGCCCAGCTAGTATGTCTGTTACTGATGCACACGGGACACTGATTAGATCCGGAGCGGGGAAAGGATGGTCAAAGCCGTAAGGGGAAGACGGAAGTGTCTGCGAAAACAGCCGTCAGTCTGCAGGCCTAAAACATGGCCATTGGAGCACAGGAAACGCTTTTCAGTGAGAGGTCCCATAACTACTGGTGAGAACCCTGTTATGATGACAGTCATAAACTCCATGAGATCTAAGTGGCTGGTTCCAATTCAGTGACCACGGACTTCATAGGAAAGGCTATCAACGATAATATAATGGCTGTGATAAAGGTGTTTTTGATGCTCTGCTTATTGCAGCAAAAAAGCAACTGACAATCCACAGCAATTAGGTACTTAATAAAACTGCTTTGGAGACTCTGCTGCTGAAAAGATTGTCATAGGTGGCACAAGGGACTTGGCAATCAATCCCAATGAAGCCCCTGGCTGTTTTTCTTCTTGGAAGTGCTTCTTCCATCAAAACAGAAAACTATGAGGCTTTGGGCCCACCCAAAGGAAAGGGAGTCAACTTCGATCCAAATACTCACATAAAAGCCGTGAGTGTGATGATCACCTAAGTAGACCCTCGCATGTGCAGGGTCAAGGCAAGACGGAGGCGAGGGGAGGAGAACCCCAGAGAGGGTTACAGGTTTCATTCAATTCACAAAGCCAACAGCGACTGGGTCTTAGCACAGTTTTGTAACTCAAATTAGTGTGTTGCTAATAAAATAACCTAACAAAAGAAAGGGTCAACCTCATCACAGCCCCACAGCCACCAACTTTGAGGAGGGAAGTTATATCTACATACTAGGAAAAACAAATGGGGTTGTAATTACCTGTCTCTAACACACATTACTCAGTTGTGATTTACATTCCAGGGAGATACACTGGTCTAGAAGAGCATTGTGTGAATGTGCCAGACCTGCACTAGAAAAGCATTGGCTTGTGAATGTGCCAGACCTGGGGCTGAGTATGGTTCTGATCCTTCCCTCTCTGTGTGGCCATGGGCAAGTCACTTCTCTCTCAGAAATTCAGTTTCCTCATTTGGAAAATAGGGATAAGAATAACTGCCCAAGAGGATTTTGTGAGACAAACTATCATCATGTATGCGAGAGATCTTAACATCTTGTCCCAACAGATTTATTTAAAATCAATCACAATCTATCACATCACATGTGACAGATGCACAGCTCAGAAAACAAAATTGCTGCCCTATATTTATCTCTGCTCCTAAGAGATAAGAAGAATGTGCTTTTCTTCTTCTTCTTTTTTTACTACAGTTGTAAAAATCTCACTTTAACATTAAAGAGTTTTGGCAGTATCATAAAAATACCATAAGATGGCTGGGTAACTTCATCATTATAACAGTAAATATCTGATGATTAATTTCATTATTAAATTTGGGACACTATGCTAACTACATTACATTACTTCATTTAATCCTCAAAACTACTCTATGAAGTAGGAACCACTATTCTCCCATTCTACAGATTAGAGCGCCGAGGAACAGTGAAGTTTAGTGACTTGAATAAATGACGAAGGCTAGACTCATATGGGCCTTTTGATTCCCAGCCCTGTGTTCTAACAAGTATGCCAAAAATGGGACTTCTGAAATGACCAGCAGAGGTCTATTTCTTGACCTGGGTGGTGTTTGCATATATTATTTTCATGTGGTTTTCTGAGCCAGTTTCATTTTATTAAAAAACATTTTTAAGTAACAATATTAGGAGTAAAATTTTACTACATGATGCTCTGAGCAAAAACTGAGTATATATTTTGCATATCATCTGTTTGCAACCACAGGCACCGAATGATGGTTCTGTACTATTATAATGACATTAGCCTCTGTTGTTTTGGACAGTGACACAGAAGCAAATGGAAATTGTATTTTAATTTGTGGTAGGAGGTGTAGAGTCCATTGGAAAAAGTGCAGAAATGGTATAAGGAAAGTGTTTTTATTTTGGCAATCTGAATAGCCATCAGCAGACTCTATTTTTCTCATTTATTTGTTTCTCTCCTCATGTATTTGTCTCAATCTCTCTCATCCTTTCTTTCTCTTTCTCTTCCTTCTCCCCATCCTCCGCTTAGTACAATTTCCATGTCATATTAGTTCCCTTCTTCCTGCCTCTCCCTCCTTTTCTTATATAGAACCCAGGAACATTTCTTATTTGTTTTATTTATTCAATATTATGATATATTATTTAGTCTTCATTAAATGGTTGAATGGATTATATACAACCTTCTCTCCACTCCTCCTGAATCCTCCTGAATTAAGCTTCCATTAAACACAGGTGATCCTTGACTGACTTTTATTTTGCCAGTTTAATGGTTTCTAGTTAATTAAATGTGTCTGGTACCTGATGGAAGTTTAGGACTGGACAGGTTAGTAGATCATGGCCTGAGAAGAAAATAAAGTGTCTGAGCATGAACTGTCCATGGTCACCTGCTTTCTCCTCACATACCTCTTGCTCTTCCCCTCTCCTGCAGACACACAACAGAGAAATCACATGCCAGGACTGTTTCTTGGCCTAAGGCCCATGTGGGACATCGTCTTGTTGTAAAGAGGTCTATGGAAGGGGCATATGCTCAGAGATCTGGGAGGTGCATGTCAGGATGGGCCCTCAGAGGCTAAAATCGGCCAGAAAGATCATACCCTAAGCCCAGGATCTCTGAGCCTCATCCCCAGAACTAATTTGTGCATTGAGACATGAATCACAAATCTGATTACCAGGCAGAAAAGTATATTTTTAAAAATCCTCTTCTCTCTGATAAAGAGAGATTTGCACGGTTTACTCAAAGCTATATATGAGGTGCTCCTCCGCGTACAGTGTAGAGTGTTTCTCCCTAGTAAGTACTGGGGAAGCAGCCCTTCCCTCATCAACATGGCCCAGAACAGAGTCTCAGACTTCCGCGGGGGCCCTGCCTGCCCCTGGACCCTGGAATCCAAGACATCACATGGAGCTGTTACAACAAATCCTAGTCCCTCCTCCCCCACTTCAGGTTATAAAACTTCCTTGCTTCTCTCTGGGAAGCCACAGCCCGATCAGTACCCCGCAGTCCCACCAGGCACCTGTTGGCTTGCCCTGTAATCAGGCTGCGGTCCCTCAACCTCGACCTCTTCCTCCAGGCCCGAGAACACTGTTTCTTCCTCCTCCTCCTCACTCTCTTCAGAACAGGAATCGAACGTATCAGCATAATACTCCTCAGCTATAACAGGGTCTTCTGGGATCCCTGAAACGAATAATAAACAACGTTCATGTCCCACCAGTCATTAAAATTATAATGAGGCTAGGATCCCCTGCGTTTTCCCCAAGATCTACATTCTGTTTGTATTGACAAAGCTGCCACAGAATGTAGAGCTGAATCTTAGCTTCTGAAAGTATCCACTTGGAAGTAATAAATCCTCAGCAAAATGAAACCTGTAAGGGAAAGGACTCTATTTGCAACCACATTTTAAGATGGAAGAATAAAATCAATAAACAGGAAGAAATGATTTGTTTTAACGTCCTTAGACATGGACTCTCATTACTGTACAAACGAGGGCATTTAGGAGCAACAGCAGGATAAGGTGCCTGGGCTGCGGGATCCCATTGCACCCCAACATAGTTTTGAGGAGGCAGCTGTAGTGGAACAATGCCAGTATTCTTCCTGGGAATTGTTTTTTTTTTTTAAAGAAAATACTTCTGGTGAAACCAGGCAAGATGGATAGGATATACAGCAGTGGCATTTTGGCAAGCTGAGGAAAATGTTAACGATTTTCTTCCTAACAAGCTATGAAGGCTTTTGATATGAAAGTTATTTTAGGGCCCTATTTATTCACATGCATACAGGGCACTTATTTAAAAATAGAAAGAAAGGATGAAAAGATCACCCACTAAGCTGAAGCCAAGAAAAGGCTACCTATGTTACTTGATATAGTATTATCAATAAGAGTACAGTTGGTGCTTATAATGGTCTTTAACCAAGAAAGACCAAGACTGAATCATAAAAAAGCATAGTGATATCAATTCTGCTTTGCTAATGGGGGCCCAGAAATAGAGAACTATCTTTGGAGAGAGGGGGAAATTACATAATGACCCCATAGCACATTAAAACTGTGGGTAATTTTAGGCTTGCACCACACACTGACTTACAAATAAAATTATTCTTCTAAATTATAACACACTGCACTGCTTTCATCCCATTATTGCCAATTTTTGTCTAATGGGAAAATATGAAATTTGGGATGAGAGAATCAAGGTTTAAATCTAGGTCTACCACATCTTCGATGAGAACCTGGACAAGGGATTGAACTTGCTGCATTCCAATTTCTCCAGTAAAACCGACAAAAAGATACTCTAGCAGTGTAGCTATGAAGGTTCAATGATGTGATTCTTATAAATACATCTGTATACAGGAAAATTTATCATAAATGTTCATTTAATCACTTAATTTCCACATCAATAAAAAATAGACTTTTAATTAACTGATTCCTGAATCATTTGAAAGTAAAATACTAGTAGCTGCAGAATTCCCTGACAATAAAATACTTTAAAATCTTTTCTATCTATAGTTTCCTATAAAACATAAGAGACAGTACTGTGGAATCAAAACTAGTTGGCTAAAAAGACAAAAATCACATATATTCAAAACTGCCTTTGCCAATTCCTTAGAAAGGGGCATGTTGTGAATCTCATAATTTCTCTCAGTAACTCAAACACAGACTGTTTTCCCTTCAGATCACTGATTTTAAGTTAAGCACCAGATGAAATAGATGGTTTGTATTTGGGGCAGTGTTTTATAACATTCTTTATTTGACTCACACTCACAAAGACAAGAAGATCACAGCAAGAGAAGTATATGAAAACTAAAATCTGCCCTGGCTGGCGTGGCTCCGTGGATTGAGTACAGGCCTGTGAACCAAAGCGTCACTTGTTTGATTCCCAGTCAGGGCACATGCCTGGGTTGCGGGCCAGGTCCCCAGCCCAGGGTGCTCAAGAGGCAACCACACATTGATGTTTCTCTCCCTCTCTTTCTCCCTCCCTTTACCTTGCTAAAAATAAATAAATGTAATTTAAAGAAAAAAAAGAAAGAAAAATAAAATCTACCAAGATCTCCCTTCTGCTGTTGAGGTCTTCAGTTTTTACCTCAAGTAGGGATACCTGTTCACTGAATGGGATGGCAGGCAAAGACATATGACTTCCTACCTCTCTTCCTTCCCCTCCGCCTCTCCTTGAATTTCTGTGTCTCTTTCAGGGAGTCATCCATTCCCTCCCTGTATTTGAGACAGTTACTCATTCATTTACTCATTCATATTCTCTTTCTCTTGCTCTCCTTCTTTCTCTCTATTCATCTCCCCACCTTCAAGTAAGAATATCTGCCTTCAAACCTGACTACGATACAGTATGAATATCATTTACATTGTTGCCCAGCACACAGAAATGTGCCTATATTTGTGTATTGTATGTAAATATTTTTACAGTTGAAACAAACTTTCATGTATCAAGATTTACCCTTACTATATCTGAAACGTTGATATTTTGCTATCGATTTGTTTTTAAATGCCAGTTGCAACTTGCTAAATTGATTTCTCACTCCATATTTTGAAAAACACTAATTTATAATGCTGGCTTTGGCATCAGAGATATAGAGATAGAGATAGACCAGCATTTAAATCAAGCCTCTACCATTAGTTCCAAAACATTAGGCATTATTTAAACTTCCTGCACTTCAGTCTTCTCATCTGTAAAATGGGGATGATAGTACCTTTGTCACAGAATTATTGTGAACATTAAAGAGTATAATGGATGCAAAGTGCTCTGCACATGGTAGGTACCCGATAAATGTTACTAACATTTAACATAAAACTTTGCACTGTGCCTGAAATGTTCAACACCAGGAAACAACATAAATATCAGAAAATCATAAATATATATCAAGTCTGAATTTTTAAAATATATTTTAAATAGAATGACTTCTCAAATTCCATAGAATACCCAGCTCAAATGGGCAATAAGGAAGCCCTCCTTCCTCCGCCTCCCTTCTGCTGGCTCCAGGGGGCCCCTTGGGTGGTTCCCCACTCTGTTCCGCCACTGCCCTTCCTGCCCACTGGCTCCATCCAGGCCCCCTCCAGGCAGCCCAGCTGTACTATAGGGATTCACAGACTTGTTCTGTGAAGGGCTGGAGAGTAAAAATTTTAGGTTTGCAGGTTACACAGGCCCTGTTACAACTACTCAACTCTTTGCAGTCTGAAAGAACCCACAGACAATAGATTAAACAAATGAGCGTGGCTGTGTTCCAAGAAAGCCTCTTGACAGCGCAGGCGGTGGACCAGACCATACAACTAACTCTACCACACAGACAAACCTTTCTCTTGCTCCACAGCACACCTCTCCTCTCACAGCGTGGCTCCAGGTGCACAGTCAGGGTCCCTTCCTCCTCTTACCAAGGACCCCCTCCCAGAAAGGAGAGGGAGGAGAGCGCCGTTCTACCACACACGCCCAAGTCACGAACAGACTGCAATGAATCCACCTTCCGTTTTTCTTAAGCACCATTAACTTGGTGCAGCTCAGAAACAGGCTCATTTTCAAAGGGAAAAGTCAAAAGAAATGTAACTGTGCTCCAACTGCGTTCATCAAGCTGTATGATTTTTGTACGTGGGTCCGATAGGAAGCCTTTTTAGATGAAGGCTCATTTCTCCTGCCACTGAGGGGAAAACGGTCTGTGACGAATAGCTTTAATTTCCTCGCACCCAGAAGTCAGCCTCCTAACAGATGCACAGGAACGGCATTCCCCATCTCTCCGCTGCGCTGGGCGGGCAGGGACGGAGCGTACTCATGAAATAACCCAGTAATGGCTGCCTGAGCCTGGACACAGTGATTGCAAATCCGTGCCAGAGAAAAAGAGAAGCAATCACCCTGTTTGGGGAAAAGGGTGCTCTTTGTCACACCCTTCAGTTAAGACCCAAATAAATCTCTCCCCATAAGACTTAAGTGAGCATCGGGATCACCTACCAGGCTTGTTAAAAGTCAAATCTGCGGATTCAGCAGGTCTGGAAATGCACATTTCTAACAATTTCCGAGGGGGTGTTTGTGCTGCTGGTCCCGGGGCCACCGCTCTGAAAACCACTGCTGTAGGCCGTGACTGGTTCAAATAAAAGTACCGTCACATGCTATATAGAAGCACTATATTAAAATATATAAGACTATGTAATATGTCTACATCTTACAACCTTTGTATATTGGACAATAAAAAAAACAAATAAACTTTACTTTAGAAGAGCTTTAATTGTGCTATTAGTTGTCTCAACCACTCACAATCTCTATGGAGTTATAAAGGACTATTCCCATTATACTGATGGGGATGAGCAAAGCTCTAAGTAAGTGGCCCAAAGTTACAACACTTTACAGTTTATAAAAGCATATCCATAGTCATTATTCCATTTGATCATTGTGACAACTATTCAAGATGGACCAGGAAAAACATTTTTATCTCATTTTTCACATAATGAAAGAGGCTCAGAAAGAACCAACCAAAGGGCACATCGCTGCATGTATGGTGGGCACTAGACAGGAATGTAAATTACCTGACTTCTATCTTTTTCCCACTGAATTAGTGCTATTTTATGATTAGCCAGAAATGTTCATCTTTGCTGGTAAAACCATGTCATAGATAAAAGATCTGATTATCGTCCCCTTGACTCTGAAAGATGTTAGATCAGGGACAGACTTCAGAAAATCTGAGCTTCAGTCACCCTGGTCCACTGCCTGCAGGGAGCCGGGAATGCTGGATGCCAGGGGGCCTCACCCAGACTCAGGCCAGCTGTAACTGCCCTCTACTTCGGAGGTGCTCAGGCTGGGCTGCGAGGGTCACCAGGAGCCCCGGACTCTGCTCCTGCTGAAAGATACCCTGCATCTCTTCACATATCTAATAAAAGTGCTAGAATTGATGAGTGCTTGCTGAGCGTGATGGCCAAGTGACTTGTGATTTGGGAAACCCAACAGACTTACTCGCACTATTATGACCCTTGTTCCAGGAAGTTAACAATACTCACAAGACACCTTTAAAAGTGGTTCTCACTATATTCACCCTATCGGGGAAGAGTCTCTTCACGAAGATAGGATGCTCTTTATTTTAGCTGTGGTGGGGCAGGCTGGGGATGAGTTGGCGATCTGAGACAGCCTTCTCGGTTTTCCTTTCTTTCCTACTTTTCTGAAGGTCAATGGCTTTATTACACTGAATAAAGGCTATCA